ACAGGTGGGGAGTTTAGAGTATATACTGTTTCCGGAGCAAGTGGAGGGACGAGTAGCGGAAGCATGCCCCACTGTGCCCTGACCCTAAACCCTAAACCCTAAACCTTAAACCCTAAACCCTGAACCCTAAACCCTCAACCTTAAACCCTAAACCCTAAACCCTATTGTGCCCTGACCTGCAGCTTGCCGGGGCCCCGCCGGACCCCATGCTGAAGACATACGATCACAACTATTCCGGCTATGTGAAAGCCGCCAGCACCAGGCCTAGACGAATAACATATTAAGGTTTAGGGTTTAAGGTTTAGGGTTTAGAGGTTTAGGGGTTTAGGGGTTTAGGGTTAGAGTATACCCTTTCTGCACGCCACGAACAAAACCAAGCAGCAGCCACTGTGATCGAAGGTGAAACATCACGTCGCGGCAAACCACTCCCGAGCCACCCTGAATCGGTTGCCCGCCAAAGACCGCTGCCGGCACTGCCATTCCACCCTAAACCCTAAACCCTAAACCCTAAACCCTAAACCCTAAACCCTAAACCCTAAACCCTAAACCCTAAACCCTAAACCTAAACCCATATAGCGGGTCGATGGGTCCCTGTGGCAAAGATTTAGCTGCAGGCTATAAACATGCCAAGATGGGTGTAAGACTTCAGAGGTTCTGGGGTCTATGCTTTGGGGCTTTAGGGCTGTGGGCTTTAAGGGGTTACAGGGTTTCCAGTGCCCAGGGTCTGAAACCCAGACCCTGAAAAATCTTGAGCCCAACACCCGAACACTGAAACCCTACAAACCCTTCCAGAACCCTTCTTTGGGTGCCAAAATTTCAAGCCCTGAGTTTCAGGGTCTTGCAAACCCTAAACACCTGAACCCCTTAAGGTTCAGGGGGTCTAGGATTTCGGATTTAGGGTTCAGGGATTAGGCTTTGGGGTTTAGGGCTCAAGGGGGCTACCCTAAACCCTAAACCCTAAACCCTAAACCGCGCCAGGTGCTTAGATTGTTTGGGGGTTCGTCAGGCGCCTCCTCACCCTCGGCTGCCTCTTCCTGCTCCACTTGAGTCTCCTTTTCGGTTTAGGGCTTACGGGTTTAGGGTTTGGGGTTTCGGGCTTATGGTGTTAGGATTTTCGCGCTTCAGGTCAGGACCTCCATTTCGTGGGCTCTGTTAAGTCTAAGGGGTCTATCTGGTTGATGGCGCTTTCATGATGCTGTTTTTTCGGGCTGTATGAGGGGCCTCGGATTTAGATCTTTTGGCATCGGACGCTTTACGAAACGCCGCCTACCTTTTTGCACATGGTGCACCGCACAAAAGCAAAGGTACTTCTTGTTTAGTCACTACCTCCCGCTTCCGAACTCATACTCGGGCACCTGAAAAGTGTCACGTCGGCAATATGGAAGCCAATGAGTTGGAACTAAACCCTAAACCCTAAATCATCATCTAAACGACCCTGGTAAAGACACACACAATTTTTCTCAACCAGGTTCCTACCTGACAACCCCGAACCCCTGCAGGACTTCTGGCTTTAAGGAGTTGGGTTTAGGGTAAGGGGTTTAGGGCAGCGGTTTTCTTCAAAGAAGATGCGCCAGTCCTTTCTTCTCTTGGTGCTTTTGTAGAGGACAACCCAGACTCCACCAACGCCCTTAATATAGGGGCCTTAATAGCCAGAACAAGGTGTTGGGGCCCATTTTACTTTTGTTATCATAAGGAACCCCCAAAATAGTATTGGTAATTACTTAGACCCCT